AAAAAAGAAAAAAGTAAGTTGTCATCAGGTCGACTGTGACTCATGGGACACCATGTGTACTAGATTAGAACTGTGCTCCATAGGATTTTCAATGGCTGATTTTTCAGAAGTAGATCACCAGGCCTTTCTTCTGAGGCACCTCTGGGTGTATTCAAACCTCCAGCCTTTTGGTTAGCAGCTGAGTGTGTTAATCTTTTTCACCACCCAGGGCTTCCCCTTCAGCTTTTTTCCTAATGGAGTCTTATTGATAAATTAGAGCTTTTCATATATTAAAGGCATTATACTTTTTTTAAAACCTACCAGCATACAGAAAAAAAAAGAAAAAACATGAAAAAACGCTAGGTAGAAATCTCAAACTATACTTTTATACTTTTATGCATAGAAAAATGTATTTCATGTATTGAAACAGAATACGTCAAAACCGAAGCAGATGGTGGAGTTTTAAACGTTTTTTTCTTCTTGTTCTAATTAATGCAGTTTTTTTTTTTTTCCTGTGTATACATTGTTTTCACTTTTCATGCCTCTGTGTCTGAGAGGTCATTTTCTTTCCCTGTAAGTCTTGACCTGAAAGGAAAAAATCAGTTTCTTTTTTCCCTTCCTCCATCTCTCTAGAACATAGAATATGGATTTCTCTGGCTAAGTACTTTCTGCACTAACAAGTGTGTCTCTTATTCTGAAATAATTAAAGAGTCACAGGAAGTTGCAAAGATAGTACAGAGAGGTCCCTGTGTATCTTTCACCTGGTTTTCACCAATGGTTACATTTTACATAACTATAGTACAATATTAAAACCAGGAAACTGACATTGGTACAATGTCTATGTATCTTCTGCTAACTGTAATCACCACAGCAATGAAGATACAGAACCATCAATACCACAAAGGTCTCCCTGGTGCTACCCCTTTATAGTTATGCCCACCCTCAGCCCCCACCATCTCTAAACCCTGGCACCCACTGTTTTTTTATCTGTATGATTTTGAGAATGTTGTATACATGGATGGAGTAATACAGTATGTGAACTTTCAAGATTGGCTCCCCCTCAATGCCCTTGAGAGCCATCCAAGATATTGTATCAATAGTTCATTCCTTTTTTATTGCTGAAGTAGATCACCAGGTCTTTTTTTGAGGTGCCTCTGGGTGGACTTGAACCTCCAACCTTTTGGTTAGCAGCCAAGTTATGTTACTATTTGTATCACCCAGGGACTCCTGGCCATTTATAAAGATAATATATTGAAAAATTATTTATATAGCAAATACTTTACCAGATAAAGTTGTAAGAGGTAGGTTAATAAACATTCTTCCTCAGTTTTGATCTAATGGATAAATATGATTGACAGTTTCATGAAAATAATACATCAAGTATTTTTCAATTTAATTTTGGTGGTCTTCACGAGTGGTCATCACCAAAGGCAATTTGGAACTTATCTTAAGAAGCTAACACTTGAAGACATTATGCTGAGCAAAATAAGCCAATCACAAAAGAGGAAATATTGTATGACATCACTTATATAAAAAGACAAGAAAAGGCAAAGGTATAGAGACCAAAGTTTATTAGCGGTTACGGGGCGGGGGGAGTTAACGGTGATGGAAAAATTGCATTGATTAGGGGTAGGGTTGCACAGCCAATTATTGTAATTGCTATCAGTAAGTTCTACACCTGTAAAAAGTTGAATTGGCAAAGTTGTGTAATATATTTACAACGACGACAAAAAAAAAGTAGCTGCTGAGGCTGCTTACGAACACCTCATGAAATTTATTTCCTTGGTTTGGAGGTTTAGGGTCATGGTTTCATGGGACATTCCAGTTAATTTGTCTAATAGCATGCTTAATGCTTCTGTTCCACCTCCTGGTTCATTGCATAGTGCCTGGGGTCTTAAAAGTTTGCAAAGCTTTCAAGGCACAGTGATTGGTCTCTAGTCACCTGGAGCAACACAGGAAGAATGGCAGTCAGGAACAAGAGGAGGATATGGAATGTGTGGCTAATTGTCTCCATGAACAACTGCTCCTTTGTCATAAGACCAGAAGAACTGGATGGTAACTGGCTACTGTTACTGAACATTTTGATCAAAGAAAGATTCCAAAGAAGAATCCTGACGAAAAGAGAGAAAATGCAGAACAGAATTTCAAATTCTCATGGACTCCAGACTTCCTGGAGCCATCGAGAGAGGATGAACCCCTAAAATGATTGCCCTGAGATAATCTTTATACTTTAAGTAAAAAATACCCCTTAAGTCTTCTTAAATCTGAATATAGTTTAGCTTACCTAGTAAAAAAAAGTCTGCCTTGAGCATTATGCTCTTTTAAGAACTATCTATACGGGATAAAATTGACAACATCAACTCAAAAGATTAGATAGGAACCTTAGAAGCAGTGACTTTATTTTAATGAGGGAGGAATAACTCCAGAAAGGAGGGTGAGAATGGTTGCACAACTTAAAAAATATAATCAATGTCACTAAATTGTACATGTAGAAACTGTTAAAAAAAAGTTAATGTTGACATATTATGATAAATGCAACTAATATCACTGAACAATTTGTATGGGAATTGTCAAATGGAAACCTAAGTTGCAGTGTAAACTTTCAGCAAAAACTCTATAGAATACTTTTTAAAAAAATAAAAAAAAAAGTTAACATGCTGTTGAACCACCACCAGTTGCTGTCCAGTCAGTTCTGACTCATGGCGACCCCATGTGTTTTATAGTAAAACTGCACGTAGGGTTTTCAAGGCTGTGACCTTTTGGAAGCAGATAGTGAGGCCTTTCTGTCAAGGTGCCTCTGGGTGAGTTCCAACTGCTAACTTTTCAGTTAGCAGTCAAGCACTTAACCATTATGTTTACATCATGCTAAAACCCTGACACAGATGGTAAAATACACAAATCTCATAAACTGACTGCCAAAGTCAGTTTTGTATTAGGTTTGCACTTTCGGGTTGTATTTTTTAAAAGTTCAATAGTTTTTAAATAGATTGTAGACTCAAAGCTAAAGGTAGTAGTACGACCCTAGCCTTGAACAGAAAAACTCTCTTTACAAAATGGAACTTGAAAAGAATCCTATACAAAAAAGTTTAAGTAATTTTCTGGAAGTGGGTAAAAACCCCACACGTAAAAACATGGAAAACCTTCCAGCAAAATATATATATATAAGTTAGGAAAATTATTTCAATAACTATTATTCATTTTTAGCCTATTTTTCAAAAACAGGCTAGAGTTTGATAAGTCAATGACAATTTCTTACACATACCACTAATAGAAAAGGTATTCAAAAGAAACCAAGTAACTGATGAAATTGACCTCCGTATATCACCTTGGGCAGTAGCAGCTGCTACCTCCTATTTTCAGCAGGACTTATGAAAATTGCTAATAATAATAGACTACCTCCTCTTTAGGAATGATCCAAGATAGTTATTTCTAATCATGCCTAGAAAGCTATTCCTATGAGTTTGGTATTTTCCAAATTTGCATTGTAAAGTTGGTACTACTTCACCTAAATAATTTTTTCCTTTGCTAAATTTAGTAAATGCATTAACTTTACTGATTATTCTTGTGCATTTTCCCTTAATATCTTGTAATAGGCCAATTTCCCTTTTTAAAAGTTCAGCTATTTTATTAATCTTCCTTAAATATACATAAGAAACTAAAGTGTCAATATATTATGATAATTACATTTAATTGTGTTCCTCTCAGATAACCTTTTCTATTTGCCTTGAGGAAATGCCTGAGCACAGTGAAGTTAAAATTCAAACCCATTATCTTAACAATAGATTCATTCAAATAAATGCCACAAAAAATTAATCACAAATACTGTTTTGGATTTAAGTCTTAATGATAAAGTAGTCTAGCGATCTTTCTTAATATCCATGTTCTTTTAGAAACTGAACTTTTCCCTTTATTTCTAAGAATTGTTTAAGTTCTAAAAAGTGTAAAGTTCTTCAACTGCATAGGAAACTTTAAATTATACAGATTATTCTTTTTTTTAATTTTTTAAAATAAAGCAAACAAGCTATGGCTTAAAGCATGAAAAGTTCTTTGTACTCATCATTTATCACTCTGTGTAGAAATTCTGCAGATAGAATTACAGAAATCAGACCAAGAAAAATCTTCGTGGTGTAATCAGGCTTCTTCATTATCCCTTTTATTAGAATGTAACATAAGTCATTGTAATCCTTTTGCCCTTGTGACAACCATCATAGAAAGTTAGAAGACTGCAGTTAACCCAAAAAATAAAGTTTTAAGTAAAAATCTGTGCTAATTGAAGATAAAAACACAGCCTAAAAAACTTTGTCTCCTTCGATATCCTAAAGAGACACTTAGGATTCCATCCTGGTTATAGATGGTACACCATTGGTAAGTGACTACCACAAGATAACCAGAACCTTCATCGAGATAATTAAGTGACCTCTTGAACTGCCAGTTCAGATACTGGTAAAAATTTGTTGAATTGCATTATGTGAAAAATCAAGTATTTGAATACTTTGTTGTTGTTGGGTGTCATCGAGTCTATTTTCAACTCATAGTGACCCCATGTGACAGAGCAGAACTACCCCGTAGGATTTTCTAGGCTGTAATCTTTATGGGAACAGATCACCAGGTCTTTCTCCCAGGAGCCACTGGGTGGGCTTGAACTGCCAACCTTTCGGTTAGCAACTGAGTGCTTAAGTTACCTTATTTATTACTTTAATGGCATTTATATTCTCTTTGACATAATGATACATATATGGTCTCAAGCCTTAGTTTCTTTAGGTTAACATATTTCCTTATTTATAACTACCATCAAGTCACAAATTTTGGAAGAGATCCAAGAAGACTTAAAAATGGCACTCATTGCAAAAAATGTTAAAGCTGTAATTAGCTCATTTAGTTGCTATTCCAGGTGGTTTGTAGTATCTACTGCAAATTCTTCGAGCAAACCAGTTGATTACAAGTAAAAATTATACAAATGGATTTTAAATTCTATTATACAATAAAATTGACTTTAAAGATCTACTTTAACAAAGTTTGTAACAAAGACTCTAGATTTATGTAAGAGATCTTACCTCATCATGTTATCTACCTAATAAATGATATAAATGTTCACTGCTGATAAAAAATAATGTTCACCAATGTGTTATATGCATGGTTAGTGTTTTATTTTTCAAAGAATGGTTCTAAAACATTACACGAAGTCAGGCTGAAAGGTAAAGTTTAAATAGACCGTTTTATAAGGATAAGTTATAACATATGTAATGACTCTTCACACTACAAAATCTTGATCTTAGAGCGTATGATACACCTAGCTGGCAGTAGCACCCAGGTTTTCCAAATTAGCCAGTCATCATTTTTCTCTTGTCTGCATAGACTTCTTCTCATTAGCTGCCTTCTGTTTTTGTTGCATGATCTCAGAATCCCTATAATGGGAGAAAAGGCTGTTAAGTTGTCACAGAAAAATTGATTTTATGTCCTCACTTGTTTTCTACATAACCCACTCAGCGTATTAGTAAGCAAGTTAAAAGCAGATATAAACACTGATGTCTTTCCCTTTCCATGGATGAAGCCAGAATGGAAAAGCAAAGAATATCGGCTTCGAAGTCAGATCTTATTTTGAATACCGTATCTCTACTGCTACCATGACCTTGGGCAAATAACCTCAAAGCCCTTTCAAAATGGGAGCGATACATACCAAGGTTGTTCTGAGGAACAGCTATGAATTTTTATAGAAGTTTCTGACATTAGGTAGCTATGTGCAAAAATAATGGCAATTACTATTGGTTGTTAACAAAGTTGACTCTCAATTTTTTTTCTGAACTAAGAGGCATTGAAGACGTCTCCTAGATATTAGATATTCTAACTGGTACCCAGGTTTAGGATATAGATGCTATGAAGCAATTCAGTTTCTTACAAGCCAAAAAGTTCAATAGCTAGTGGTTAAAATGGATTATATTAAAGAAAAGCAGGATATTCAGGGCATTTTCTTAACTCTTTACATCTCTGGTGAACTTCCATATGCCATATTAACTGTGAACCACAATCTGAACTACCTGGGTGAGGTGGACCATATATTAGATGGCTATGTATTGAACACCTACTATGTGCCACGTATTTTACTAGCTCTGGCTTAAGTTCCACAATAGCTCTGAGTTACTACTGCCATGTCTTAGATAAAAAATTAAAGGCTTAGAGCTAAATAATTTGCACCAAATCACATAAAAATGAAAAGTTGTCCACTTTCAAAGTCCAGGTTCTTTTTTGTTGTTATCGCAAAAATTTAGTATTGGATTTTAACTCAGAATTGAATAGCTCTGTCTATGATAGTAAAACATTTCTGCAAAGCCAATAGCAAAAGCTGGCATGAGAAGGAAGGAAAAACAAGACAGCTACAAAGGCAGGCAGTACAGTGAGAAAGAACAGTGATTTCTCTGTTAGAAACCAAACTCTGCTGTGCTTGCTGAACGGTCTTAGTAATACTGAAGAGCCTCAGTTTCCTTTTCTACACACTGAAGCTAATGCCACTTTTCAGAGCTGTGATAAACAGAGATAATACATCTAGAGCACCTAGCTCAGAGCTTTATTAGTGGGGATTTAGTCAATAGTGGCTATTACTGAATTAAGTCAGGCTAAGTTCTCCAATAAAAATACTATTTGAGAGTCACTGATCCATGTCATGTTCACTTTTACTCCAATAAGCGTAAATATCAATTTAAGGCAAAGCTCATCACTTTAACAGTGCCATTGAAACAAAGTGTGAACTGATAGTTAAGTGCATCAATCTTACTAACCAGTGGTTCTTAACTCTGACTTATATCAGAATCACCTGGGAAGGTTTTGTAAATTCAGGTTTAAGGCATAATTTAGGTATAATAAAATTTACTTGGGGCTTTTTAATGCCCAACAAATTAAATCAGAGCTGCGTGTAGGGCCCAGACTTGGGTAGCTCTCAAAGTTTCCCAGGTGATTCTAATATGCATCCAAGATTAAGAAACACTGATAAGCCAGAATGAAGGATAAGTAGTCAATTATTCACATAACCTCCAGGTTACACATGGACAATAAAATTTAACTTTGGTTAACCTTTTCAAAAACATGAATGCTTTTTTTTTTTTTTTTACTTAAGGTGCAGTCTCACTGAAGTATTTCTGTAGCAGTTTTGTATTATTTGTCACACAGTCTAATATCATTCTGTCTACATGCATTTTCTCCAACCTGATGGAGCTTCAGAAGTCAGTATAGCTACACATACTTATTATATCTCCTTCCAAACAGTCGAACTATAATCAAGTCGCTTGTTTGTCACCTAGACTAGTTTGGGTAGGTTTTCCCCTTTGCAAATGTTGTGTCCCTAGCACTTAACAGTGCCCTGCATATGGAAGATGTTCAATTATTTTGCCAAATCAAGTTCTTATGGTTGAGTCGGAGTTGCGTGAGATTCCCTGCACGACAGCTTCAGAGCTTTAAATTCTTCACCCATGCGTTGGATAATAAATATCCTATGTGGATATCAATAGCTGTTACCCCTTTCTGTAGGTTAGGCCCAGTTCTACAAAGAGTTTACAAAATGCTTTTCATTCTCCAAAATGTAGCTTCAATCAAAACTTCAGTGAATTGCGAATTCCATTAAGTACCACTTACCTCTGCTTTCTCTGAGAGGTAGTCAAGCTATCCTCTTTTCTTTTTCCCTTGCTAATCTCCTGGGTTTTCTTCATGTTTTTCTGGCGAGCAAGTTCTCTTTGATTTCCACCTACAAAGAGAAACAGTCATGTTCTTTTTCCACTTCCAAAATGATTAATAATTCCATTAAAGGGCTCTTGTTCAAGGGCATCTCAAGTTTGCCTTTTAATAGAAAAGCTGGCCAAGTACTGCCACTGGATGGGGTTCCCAGACCTTACCGACAAAGAGTAAGCTTAACGGTAAACACTTAAGGACTTAAGAGCATTATCATACCAATCAAGGTATTCACGGGCTATAAATACCAGACCTTTTAAAACAGGCATTCCAATAGTCTAAGTGAGCCAGTATTCCAAAATAAGTTCTGGCTTTTGAAGGGTGTGGGGAGGGGGGAGAAAAAGAAAGACACAAAGAGATCACACACCGCACGAGTTCAGCCCATCACAATTCGATCTTTCAGCTAGCAAACGCAGATGTTTTTAAAACATTACCTGTGCTGGCCAAACAAAAGAACTAGGGAAGAGGCGCAGTTGGAGCTCCCAGTTCTCATTAGGCCTCACGACTTTAGGTACCATCTATAAACCGCCTCCAGACAAGGCCCCTTCCCCGGGCTGTCCCTCCACATCTCCCGGGGGTGTGTTTAGACGGGTCTTACGGTGCAAACCTGCACCTGAGGGGCAAGCAGAAGCCCAGCCTTTGGGCCGGACCCAACAGCTGGTTCGAGCAGGCAGCGAAACCCTGGAAAGAAAAGCGTCCCTTCTCTGCTGACTGAAGGCAGGGTCCCCATCTCTCCCGACAGAAAAGGATCACCAGCTGGCCGCCATGCCTCCCTCCCGCCGCGCCCCCGGGCGGCCTCGGGGCCGTGCTGGGTTCCGGGCACAGCCGGGCGGGAGGCTTTCCTGCAGCTTCCCCCACCCCTGCGCACACTCACGGGCCATGTCGACCACCGGACAGAGCCTGGAAGAGAGCGACTCAGAAAAGCAACGGTTCCCTCCCAAGCACAGCCGCCGTCACCACCCTTCGTTCTGGAAAGCTGAGCGCGCCGATCCTTCGCGGGGAGACGCCTCTGCACCGTCAGCGGCCCCGCCCACGGAGACCCGACAACAGCCACCAGCGTGGCCAAAGAACGACTGCGCGTGCGCGGGCGGGCGAGCGGTTCCCGGCAGGGTCGCGGCAGCCGCAGCGAGTGGAGAATTGGTCACTCCCCTGGCCCGGCTGCCTTGCACTTTTGGCGGAGTCCAGAAACCAAGTCTGAGAGAGGCGTGTGTAGATTTTTCCTATCGTGTACCACGCACTGGGGCTTGAACAGCTCCTTTTTTTTTTTTAAACAAACAACAATAAACAGTACAATGTCTCACTTTTCGACAAAGGACTTTCATTAATTGCCTTCTAGAGGCGAGAAGGAGGGGAAGGGAATTGAACAGATTGAGGGTTAACTCTGCGAAAGGCAGTGTTAGCCCTTTACATAACTTCCTTCCGTATTGTTTCAACAACCCCGCAAGGTAGGCTTCATTGTTCTCATTTTACACAAGACGAGACTGAGCCTCTGAGATCATAAGCGACTAGACCTAACTGGTAGGAGGAATCTGTGGAAGCGAGATTCTAATTTAAGATTGACTTTAACGTCTATGCATTTCCCATTTTTTCCCACGGCCGCTGTCGCGGTCGACAGTTGTTTAGAAATTCCAGGTTACTGAATGTGTGCTTGGGTTGTGCAATGGAGAAAGGATAGCAGGGAACGCAGCCTTACCTTACCTTGAATTCAGAATAACCTCGGAACCTACATAAACACTGTGGAGCACCTGCCGTTGCTAGAAACAGACATGTAAAAAGATTCTAACGGTTCGTTTAGTCGATGCTTATATTCTTCACCTATTCCATTAATTATTATAAATTGAGAAATGTGAGGAGATGGTCTGAACACCCTAAAATTGCCTTTTTTAAAAAAAAAACTTTTATTTTGGAAGATATAAAAGTATAGAAAATACTATAATGGACCCGTAAGTACGTATAACAAACTTCAACAATTATTACCTCATAAAATCGCCTATTTTAGGGAAGGTGGGAGAAAGTGGTGAAGACTACGGGCTCTGGAAATGGAATGTCTAGGTTGAAAGCCCAATTCTACCAATAAGCAGCAGTGTGAACTTGGATAAGCAGCAGTGTGAACTTGGACAAGTTGTTTGTGTTAAAGTTTCCTTACCTGTGAGAAGAGGAGATAATTGTACCTTGTTAATTGAATTAACATATTTGAAGTACTAAGTGTCCAATATATGGTAGCACTCAACATAAGCAATTATTGTCACTATTCTTTCAACCTCAGAGAGCCTGTGTAGCAGCACACATTATCAGTCTCCCCACACCTCACCCCTCCACCTCAATACTGCTCACAGGTCAGATCAGTTATCTGTTTCCACTTTGTAAGCCTTTTCTTGAGTAACTTGAGCAGGGGGAAAAGACTGACTTTCTGGCGGGGCTCTTTTTAGAGATAGACCATTTGAAGAGGCAGGGTAGTGAAAAAATTTGGGATTGGAAGGTAAATGGCAGAGTTGTTCTGTATGTGTTCTCAACTTACACTCTAATTGAACTTTTCCTTTTCAGCTGAAAATAAAATTTTTGAGTTGTAGGAGTATACCCGTGTATGCAAGATATGTTGTGTGTCTACCAGATGAAACAGGAGACTTAAAATTACTATGATGCCACTAAAAATTTTACTCCATAAACTTGGATGTGTAACAAATGTCTTGTGACCTTATATTTAATAATAAAATTAAATCTGACTCTCCCCATATGTTTACTAGTGGGAAATTAAATCTTCGTCATTCTTGGACTTTCTTACCTACAGTGTTGTGTGAATGTCCAGGACTCTTAGGTGAAGCAGAACATTTGAGGAGAGGCCTTGGTCTTCATTTTATACTAGAATGTGCTAATGCTGTATGGTCCCAGTCAGTGGCTCCAAGATTTCTGAGAAGTCTTTGGCAGGGGTTTCTTTTTTGACTTGTTGAGTTTCTCTAGGTGTATCTGAGATCCTCTTGCCTTCCCAGAGTATGGGAGAGAGCTACTCTAAGAACCCTCAAATCTCCATTTTCTTCCCTGTCTTAGGAGGAATCTCTTCTCTCTGCTTTCAGCTTTGCCTTTCTACTCTGAAAAGCACTTGACTCTCCTTAAATAAATGGAAAGATGTTTCATGTTCATGGATTGGAAGACTTATTATTATTAAGATAGCAATACTACCCAAAGTGATGTATAGATTCAATGCAATCCTGATCAAAATTCCAACACCCTTCTTTACAGAAATAGAAAAACCAATCCTCAACTTTAAATGGAATGGCAAGAGGCCCCAAATAGCTAAAGCAATGTTGAAAGAGAAGGACAAAGTAGGAGGACTCACACTTCCTAATTTTAAAACATACTATACTGCTACCGTTATCAAAACAGCCTGGTACTGGTATAACAATAGACACAGAGACCAATAAAATAGAATTGAGACTCCAGAAATAAACCCACACGTCTATGGTCAACTAGTGTTTTACAAGGGTGCTAAGTCTATTCGATAGAGAAAGAAGAGTCTCTTCAATAATTGGCTCTGGGAAAATTGGATTTCCACATGCAGACAAATGAAATAGGATCCATGCCTGCACCATACACAAAAGCAAATTTAAGATGAATTAAAGACCTAAATGTGCAAACTAAAACCATAAAATTCTTAGAAGAAAAAGCAGGAGCAACGCTGTTAAGCCTAGCTTTTAACAATGGATTATCAAATATAATAACAAAAACACAAACAGCAAAAGACAATAAATAAATGGAACCTCATAAAAATTAAAATTTTTTGTTCGTCAAAAGACTATACCAAAAAAAAAAAAAAAATTAAAAGACAAGTTACCGATTGAGAGAATATCTTTGGAAACCACATATCCAACAAGAATCTAATAACCAAAATATATATAAAACTTCAACAACATAACAACAAAAAGACAAATAACCTAATAATAAAATGGGCAAAGGCCTTGAATAGACATTTCATCAAAGAGGATATTCAAATGGCCACCAAAGACAGGAAAAGATGCTTAGCGTCATTAGCCATTAGAAAGATGCAAAACAAAGTCACAGTAAGATACCATCTCACTCCCCGTAGGATGTTGTTGTTGTTGTTAGGTGCCCTCCAGTCAATTCTGACTCATAGTGACCCTATTGTACAACAGAACGAAACACTGGCTGATCCTGCACCATCCTCACAATTATTGCTATGTTTGAGCCCATTGTTGTAGCCACTGTGTCACTCCATCTCTTCGAGGGTCTTCCTCTTTTTTGCTGACCCTCTATTTTAACAAGTATGATGTCCTTCTCCAGGCACTGGTCCCTTCTGATAACATGTCCAAAGTATGTGAGACAAAGTCTCATATTATCTTTGCTTCTAATGAGCATTCTGGCTGTACTTCTTCCAAGACAGATTTGTTTGTTCTTCTGGCATCCATGGTGTATTCAATATTCTTTGCCAATACCATAATTCAAAGCATCAATTCTTCTTCAGTCTTCCTTATTCATTGTCCAGCTTTCATATGCATATTGAAAACACCATGGCTTGGATCAGGCACATCTTAGTCCTTAAAGTGACATCTTTGTGTTTTAACACTTTCTTGAGGGCTTTTACAAGAGATTTGCCCAATGCAATGTTTCTTTTAATTTCTTGACTGCTGCTTCCATGGATGTCGATCGTGGATGCAAGTAAAATGAAATCCTTGACAACTTCAATCTTATCTCCTTTTATCAGGATGTTGCTTATTGGTCCAGTTGTGAGGATTGTTTTTTTTCTTTATGTTGAGGCATAATCCATTCTGAAGGCTGTGGTCGTTGATCATCATCAATAAAGTGCTTCAAGTCTTCTTCACTTTCAGCAAGCAAGGTTGTGTCATCTGCATATTGCAGGCTGTTAATGAATCTTCCTCCAATCCTGATGCCCCATTCTTCATATAGTCTAGCTTCTCAGATTATTTGCTCAGCATACAGATTGAATAAGTATGGTGAAAGGATACAACCCTGACGCACACTTTTCCTGACTTTAAACCACGAAGTATTCTCTTCTTCTCTTCAAATGACTGCCTCTTGATCCACGTGCAGGTTCCTCATGAGTACAATTAAGTAATCTGGAATTCCCATTCTTTGCAATGTTATCCATAATTTGTTATGATCCACATAGTCAATAAAGCACAGGTAAACATCTTTCTGGTATTTTCTGCTTTCAGCCATGATTCATCTGACATCAGCAATGATATCCCTGGTTCCAACTCATCTTCTGAATCCGGCTTGGATTCCTGGCAGGTCCTTGTTGATGTACTGTTATAATCACTTTTGTATGATCTTCAACAAAATTTTACTTGTGTGTGATATTAATGGTACTGTTCAATAATTTCTCCATTCTATTGGATCTCCTTTCTTTGGAGTGGGTACAAATATGGATCTCTTCCAGTTAGCTGGCCAGGTAGTTGTCTTCCAAACTTCTTGGCATAGACAAATGAGGACTTCAGTGCTGCATCCATTTGTTGAAACATCTCAGTTGGTATTCTGTCAATTCCTGGAGCCTTGTTTTTCGCCAGTGCCTTCAGCGCAGCTTGGACTTCTTCAGTACCATTGGTTCTTGGTCATATGCTACCTCCTAAAATGGTTGAGCATCAACCAATTCTTTTTGGTACAGTGACTCTGTGTATCCTTTCCATCTTCTTTTGATGCTTCCTGTGCCGTTTATTATTTTCCCCGTAGAATCCTTCAATATTGCAACTCGAGGCTTGAATTTTTTCTTCAGTTCTTTCAGCTTTAGAAATGGGGAGTGTATTCTTCCCTTTTGGTTTTCTATCTCCAGGTCTTTGCACATGTCATTGTAATACTTTACTTTGTCATCTCGAGCTGCCCTTTGAAATCTTCTGTTCAGATCTTTTACTTCATTTCTTCCATTCACTTTGGCTACTCTGCTTTCAAGAGCAAGTTTCAGAGTCTCTTCTGACATCCATTTTGGTCTTTTCTTTCTTTCCTGTTTTTTAATGACCTGTTACTTTCTTCATGTGTGATGTCCTTAC